CTCTGTCTCCCTAAATCCCTCCTCTCTTTTGCCAGAGTTCCTAAAAGTGTGATCTGTTGTTTCTGCTTATGGTACTTCGCTTCTTTCTCACACCTCATCCTGAAATTATCTGACCCGATCTAAGGCTCTGTGGTCCAGATCAGCATGGGCTTCCTGGTTTTTAAATGCAGGGTTCTGTTTCCAGACCTCATCCTCTACCTCTGCAGCATGTGTTTCTGTCGTCACACTCTGCTTAAAACTTCTTGTGTCTTTTCATGTGCCCAGAGCAGACATTCAAAAATATTGAACCAGTAGTTCTGATTTCTTTTCTGAGTTTTCAGCCTACATTTTTAGTGGACATTATTGCCCGAATCTCAAATGCCTTATAGCCAAAAAGACAGTTATACTTTCTTCTGCCCTTCTCTTTTTATCTTCTTTTTGATCTTCTGAGATTATCCTCATTTTTCATATGTGCTCAGGCTACATACCTAAAGGTCATCCTTGATGCCTCCTCTTTCTCTCATTTCGTTTGGTGTCTAAGTTCTGATGAATCTTTTTCTCCCAAATCTTTTTCTACCAACTACTGTCTCCTATGACTATTGCCTCTTTTCACTTCTAGACTCTTGTCTGGATTATTTCAGTAGTACATTTAGGAGTTTTTAATTTGGATTCCATGAACAGACATCAGGGGATCTAAGAATCCCCTCAAAATTGTGTGCAGATTTTTTATACTTGTGCATTTTTCTGGAGAGGTACATTAGACTATTCCATGGGAAAGAAAATGAGAAATAGAATGAAAGAATGTGACAATTTAAACAAGTCCATTGGACCAATTTCTCCTTTTTCTTTGCCTGCCCTTTCCTATTTAGTTCCCTAACCTAGGGCACTGATCTCTGACTACTGAAGGGGCATGTAAGACATAAAGGAAAAAAAGTAACAGCAATCCGTATAGCTCGGCAGTCAGACAGTCTGGCAGCCAGAGATCAGAGGCTCCCAACATCAGAGCCATGCTTTAATGTCCTGGAGAGGCTTGGGAGAAAGTTGGGGCATCAGTAGGGAGGTGTCCTCCTGAGCCCTCTGGTCCCATTTGTTCATGTGCTTCCAAAGGACTTGGAGGGATATGAGAAGCTTAACTGGTGGAAATCCAGAACTAGACAGTGAAGCAGTGTCCCCAGAAAACGGTTAAGAACATTTCTTCAACTAGACTTCTACCCTCTGCCTTTTTGTTTGGTATTCCTTCCTCCATTCAACAACAGCCTTCGTTTTTAAACACATATCTTATTGTGCACCTTCCGTGATTAAAAACCTCAGGGTTTTTACAAAACTTATTAAAAACTCCTGGGCACCATGTCAAGGCCTTCTGTTGTTTGGAACCTGTCAGACTCATCTCCAGGCCCTGCCGTCTGCTCACCTCCAAGGCTGAGCCACAACAGGTTACTACTGGCTGTTTTGAGAGGATAGTTTTCAACGTCCATACCTCTATGTGCTTGATCATTCCCATCTCTCTCTCTCAAGGGTTCCATTTCGTCTCTACTGCCCAACCATGAACCTCCTACTATCCTTTAAGACCCAGACTGAATGTTAACTCTTCCCCTATGTCCATGCCTAATTTTCTGCCATCACCTTGACAGAATCAAGTCTCTCTTGGCTAGGTTCCAAAAACATTTCATACATATCTCTGATAATGTCTTATTATATTGTAGATAACCCTTTTTAATTTCTGTCTTTCCTACTAAACCAGGAATGCCCTGCAGGTAGGGATGGCCTTTTTCATGTTTGTATCCCTAACACCTAGTTTCATGCATAGTCCAAACAGGAGCTTAATACACTTTTGTTGAATGGAATTACTTCTGAAAAGTTTTTATGACTCACTTAAAATTAGAGACCAATGCTTATTTAATAAGTCAGAATAGGCTATAATAATAATGGTAATAACAAAGTCTCATTTCCACTGCTTATTCAAGTAACTGCTTCCTTTGTGGAAGTGGATTTTGAAAATCTTCACATGTCAGTGTATATTTTTGATGTGCTTTCTTGAGATCCTGAAAGAATAATAGTTCTAATTCAGACTAGAGCTGTGACATTTCTATTGGTGTTATATTGAATAGAGTCTGTCATTTCAGAGATCTGTATTATATATAATAAGTTCCATGGAAATGTATTTTATCTCTCTCAAACTTCATGGTAATATTTTGTGAGTTGTTTAGTTATTTTATAAGATCTGGGTCAATTTAATTCAAAACATATTAAATGGAACATTTTCCACATATAAAAACAGAGTCACAGAGTTAAGATTCTAGTATTTATATACTATGTAGTTTGTTTTGCTAAATTTGCAAAGTCCTTGTCATTGCAAATATGTTTTTAGGTATTTAAATTAGTTCAATTATGTTACTTTACACTGTTCCATAAATTAAGAGCTTTAAATAAAATTTTAGAAATGACCTTCTCTCCCTATTTTCTTTGAGTTTTTTAAAGAAAGGAATCCATAATTAGTCATTTATTGAGTACATATTATGTGCTAGGCACTGTACTACATGTTTGCAATTCAGGATGGACTAGACAGTAGCTGCCCTTGAATAGTTCACAGTCTAATGGAGAAGAAGGTATATACATAAGTGATTGCAACTTAAACCTTGGAGAAGAGGAAGGAAACTCATCCTTTGAGAACCAATGTTGATGTTGAGAATGGATATGTCTTCAGATAAATCTATAAATACAGAATCAGGGAGCTAAAGAGAGTTCATAGTCTTTTTAAAAAATATGTGAAGTGGGAATGTAGGTCATCTTTCAGAAATAATGGCATACCCAGCCAGTGTGGTTCAGTTGGTTGAGCATCTATTCCGTGCACCAGGAGGTCGCTGGTTCAGTTCCATTCAGGGCACATGCCTGGGTTGCATTCTGGATCCCCAGCAGGGGGCGTGCAGGAGGCAGCCAATTGATGTTTCTACCTCTCTTTCCCTTTCCCTTCCTTGTCTCTGAAATCAATAAAAACATATTTAAAAATAAAAAAAAAATAATGGCATGGGGTAGCACATCTGGATAATTACTAACAGGAATGGGAGATAATGAACAAACACCAGCAAAGGGTGGCATATAGTACTAAGGAAGCAGTGAGAGTAGAACTGAATCTGGATGGCATGAAAATTGTGAGGATATCAACACAGTGGTATAATATTCTTTGGCTGTGCTCTGTGACCATTGTGTAGGTGCAGTAAAGCCATATTGTGTTCAGGGCTTGTGGGATGGGAATTCCAGGAATATAAGAAGGCCAATGAATATAAGAAGGCAAAAAAGTATGGTTTAATATGGAAGGAAGTATGGTTAGGGGAAAACTGATAAACTTGGAGAAAGTTAAGAAACTAAATGAGGATAAGGCCTGGTACTTTGTAGGTACTCAGTAAATCTTCATATTTTTCTTTCTGGCTCTCCTCTCCTTATACCTGTTGTTTCACCACCACTATCACCTGCCTCTGCAGGTGGTTGATATATAGGAATAGTTTCAAATCATGATGGTAGCAGTTGGCTTGGAGGGGAAGATTAGGAGGCAGATTACAAAATCCTTATCAAATATGCCCCAGTGACTTGAATGCTTGCAGTGCTTGGTGATACTGACCTCTAGGAGCTCAAGGCTTTTCCCCTCATCTCCTTACCACTCATGCTTGAAGGGTGGATCAGGGGCAAAGACATTTTATTGGGTCATGGTTCTTAGGACAGAAATTTGCCCTGTGATGAGAATGGTTTAGATTTAGCCTTCAAGGATTTCCACTAAGTTCCCCTAGTCTCTACAAGCCTTACCATAAACAGATCTCATTGCTTTCAGGATTTAAAAGGGAGTCCTTTTTGACATAATGATAAAAGTAATCATCTTACTGGCAATCCAAAGGGTCTTCCTCCTCAGAATCTAAAATTTCTGGTAGACTTGGTTATATCTTGTGATTTCTTTTATGTGAGTTATTAAATGTATTGTTATCATTTTTTCTTAAAGATAAATTTAAGGCTTTCATTCTAAATGAGGACAAACTGTTTTTATGAAAACACATGATTTACATTCCATTTCCAGAAATTTTCTTTTTCACATGTAGTTTTGAGTGTAACACTGAAATTTAAAAATTTATTATTTCACAGCATGCTTGTCTGGTGTAGGAGAAATAAATACTCATTAAAAAGTCATGTATGTGAACTGTGAAACTGCTGGAAAGGTGAGAATTCCTAGCGTGAGTAAACAGAAACCACAGGTCATCCTAATCTTAAGAAATGGAGTAAATGCTCATGTAGAGTTGACTAAAGAAATCCTAGGGCATCTAGATGATTAGTCTTGCTATTTTGCTATTAATGATACCTTTAAAGCATTTAGCAGTGCTTAACTAGAAAAGATTTGTGGGTTTTTTTAGAACTTCATCTGGGTGGCTCTGAGAAATCATGTGCCTCATTTGGCATTAGTCACATGAAATAGAACATTTAACTTTATCCACAAAGTCTGTAATATCCATCTGGATCCTATGGATTGCTCTGTACCATCCTTTCTTCAAGTGCTTGTATTGAGAGGTAGACTGTAACTTCTATGACCAAGGAAGAGTTTCCATAGCTTACCATATCATAGAAATTTGTGTTAAGTTAAATTTACCAAACAAAAAACCAGATCTCCTTTTCCCCCCTGACTTTGAAGTAAAGAATAATGAAAAATAAGTAATAGTTCTTAATTAGGTATTTAGTTTACAGAGACAGAGTTAAAAGTATTTGTTCCAAATGATAGTTCAAATACACTTTCCAAAGACCTTTAATTGTCAGCTTCCCCTTCAAATATTGGTACTGGTATAGGAATTATTTCTGAATTTAAAAAAAAAAAAAGCCTCACTTGTTCATTCTTGTTCTGTTCATGACACCTGGCTATTAATATATGTTAATGGCATCACTGTATTTTTCATAACATGCATATGAAGAAGAAAGAAAACTTTCCTTTAAATGCCTTACTTGGGTTTTAGTTAGTTGATGTAAGACTGTTTTCTTTTCCTTTTTAGGTTGCAAACACGTTAAAGGCATCCTATTATATGGGCCCCCAGGTTGTGGTAAGACTCTCTTGGCTCGACAGATTGGCAAGATGTTGAATGCAAGAGAGCCCAAAGTGGTCAATGGGCCAGAAATTCTAAACAAATATGTGGGAGAATCAGAAGCTAACATTCGTAAACTCTTTGCTGATGCTGAAGAGGAGCAAAGGAGGGTAATGTTAATATATAAGTATAGTTCAGTAAAAGTTTATTATTGGTTATATACTGAATGAACCCAAAGTTATGGTAGAAAACTTGTTAGAACAATCTATATTTTGAAAAACTTGAGGGTGAAATTTATTTAGTACCAAGTTATGTCACTGAACCAGGATTGTGGAGGATTTACATGATGTGAGCAGATGTCATTATTTACATGTTCATAATACAAAGATAGATGATTGTATAAGCCAAAAGTTTTACAAAAACAGATCATGAATATATTTTCAGGTGACACTTTAATACTACATTACTTCCAGAGACTTGAACTCATCCTTTGGAAAGGGAGAAATTAAATCCATAAAGGGGTATATAGAATTATGTTTATGTTAGGTCCATGTGCAGAAAGCTAATTTACCACTGAGTCAGCTTAGTTGTAGAGTGGCAGGTGTGAGTTGTTAGGTCTCAGAGGCAAGCTTGATTTGGGTCTTAGAAAAATAATAAAATTGCCCTGGCTGGTTAGGCTCAGTGGTTAGAGTGTCGGCCCGTGGACCAGAGAGTCTCGGGTTCAGTTCTGGTCAAGGGCACGTACCTTGGTTGCAGTTTGGTCCCCGACCCTGATCTGGGTCATGTGGGAGGCAACCAGTCGTGGTGCCTCTCACACATCTGTGTTTTTTTCTCTCTCTCTCCTCCCTCTCCCACTCCCCCTCCCATTCTAACTGAAGATAAATGGGAAAATATCCTCAGGGGAGGATTTTAAAATAAACTTAAAAAATAAAATAAAATTAATTAGCCTGGCCGGTATAGCTTAGTAGATTGAGTGTCCATAGACTGAGAGGTCCCAGTTCAATTCCCGGTCAGGCCACATGCCCAGGTTGCCGGCTCAGTCCTCAGTGGGGGCATGTAGGAGGAGGCAGCTGATTGTTTTCCTCTCTCTCCCTTCCTCTCTAAAAAAATCAGTAAAAACATAAAAAATAAAACCAGAGTTTACTAATTTTGATGGTTAATTTTATGTGACAATTTGACAAGGCCTCAGGGTGCCCAGACATTTGGTTAAACGTTAGTCTGAGTGTGTTTCTGGGTGAGATTACCATTTGAATAGCAGACTGAGAAAAGCAATCACCCTCCCAAATGTGGATGGGCTCCATCCAGTCAGTTGAAGACCTGAATATAAAAGAAAGAGCTGCAGATCTTGGGACTTGTCAGCCACCATAATTATGTTAGCCAATTCCTTATAATTAATTCTCAATAGTTACCTAGATAGATTGATAAATGGAGATCTAGATCTAGATCTCTATCTACATGTACATCTGTATAGTTTTAGGTGACTAATAGTGTGGGTTTTGGTTCTGTTACACTGGAAAACCCAGACCAATACACTAATATTACATATTTGTTTCATTGACAGAATTTTTAAAAATAATGCCATGGGATATTTGTTTCTGGCAATATAGTAGGCTAGGCAACTTGAAGCCTTCCTTCTACAAACACCTTCATATGCTGGGTAAAATATAACAAATCATTTCAAATACATAATTGAGCTCTCAGGAAAGTAAAGGAAATCTTCATAAATGAAAAGAAAACTCTGAAAATTAGAATGATAAATATATGAGCTGAAGCTTTGGTTTTGGTAATATATAAGGTTGGGTTTTAGCACCCACTGGGAGCAGAAAATGAGTCCTTGAACCTCCTTAAAGTATGGACTAGGAACTAGAACCTTCAAAGGGTTTGTTTCCTCAATGAAAAGAAGGAATTAGAAAATACCTGCCTAGCAGCACAGAGAAATAACAAAAACATGTAACTGTCTACCTGGATTCTGAAGTGGAAGCTGAGGAACCTCTCATGGCCATTCTAAACCATTGATCCTTGACTCATGCATAGGATTTAAAAACAAACAAATGAACAAAAAAAATATACAGTATATGGTCTAGGGCCCCTAAGCTGAGAAAATAATTAAAAAATAAGTCCTGGGCTAATGATACCATAGGGTTGTTAGATATGAGCAAACCCCAAGGAATGCTCCCACAGCTCAAGCTACAGAGTTTCTCATAGGGGAAGCTAAAATAGAAAAAAGAGAAAAATATTATCATCAAAATGTAAAGCTCAGCAATCAGGTTAAACATTAGCCAGTAGTTTCAGCTGAAGAGAGAAGTGATAAACAGAAGAATAGATCTAAAGAAATCACCCAGAATGTAGCAGAAAGAGATGGAAAATATAGAAGAGAAGTTGAGATAACAAAGTTAAAATGAGAAGTCCAGATAGAAAGAATAGTGTAGAAGCTATATGCAAAAAAGAATGGCTGAGAATTTTCTAGAATTAATAAAACACTGCCCTGGCCTGTTTGGCTCAGTGGTTGGAGCGTCGGCCTGTGATCCGGAGAGACCTGGGTTCGGTTCCTGCTAAGGGCACGTATCTCCGTTGCAGTTTGTCCCCGGCCCTGGTTGGGTTGTGTGGGTGGCAACCACTTGATGTGTCCCTTTCACGTCGATGTTTCTCTCTCTCTCGCCCTCCCTCCCTCCCACTCTGTCTGAACAAAATATTGAAAAATGTCCTCGGGTGAGAATTAAAAAAATAAATAAAACACATAAAGACTCATATTCATATAGAACCATGAGCCCAAATAGGATAAATAAAAAGTAAGTTATTTTTAGACCTATTGTAGTGAAACTGGAGACTGTCAAAGAAAAAAGAAAAACATCTTAATATCAACAAAAAAGAAATGGTGACGTACAAAGGGAGATCCATTATGTTGACAGCAAACTTCAATAACAGCAGCAGAGATCTGAAAACAGTATCTTCACAGAGCTAAGTGAAAATAACTGTCAACTTAAAATTTTATACTCAGTTAAATTCTCACTCAGGAATAAAGGTGAAATAAAGGTGGGGTTTTTTTTGGTGTTTTTTTTTCAAGCAAAGACTAATAGAATTAACTAGTCACAGAAGTTTACTGGAAGAATATGAAGGAGGATTTACTTGAGAATGAAGGAAATTAAACCCATAAGGAAACAGTGGATGCAAGAAACAATGATGAGCAATAAAATTGGTGAAACTATAGATAAAATCTGGAGTTTCTACTTCTGGTAGTGGCAGATTAGGTAACTTAAATCATGCCTGCCACTGAAGACTACCAGAAAAGCTCAACAAAATATGTAATTATTTTTTGCTTGAAAGCATCAAAGAAGTTACAAGATCTAGGGGTAGAATGAAGGCCCCGATATAAAGCCCCTGGTATATGGAGACTCAGAGAAAAAAGGTCACTGTTTTTCTATAGATATTAGCTAATGCTGAAGTTTGTTGCTAAAGTGCTATGCAGCTCTTTTGATAGGCTAGTGGGAGTAGTGGGCAGAGTTAGATCCTGTGGCCTACAAAGAGGGAACCCTGATGAACATGCCTCATTTTGAGTTGGGACCCTGAAAGGCTACACGAGTAAGGGTTAATTAGAAGTAGACATGCTCTCAGAGGCTATAGATCAGCTTTGACTCATGACATTCTCTAAAATTAGATTGAAGGTTTCTAAATCACTAGTGCCCCCAGGCATCTGGCAGAATTGTAGATACTTCCTGGAGGAAGGCCTCAAATTATTTCTTTAGTTTGCAAATGAAATGTCTGGTGTATAATCAAAAGCAAGCAGACACACAAAGACAAACCACATGAAGAAAAAGAAACAAAAGATTATATAAATTGGTTCTCTGGATATTGGAATTCTCAGATACAAATTTTTAAAATATGAGCTTAAATGTAACAAATCAAATTTTTATTTAATATTTTCCTGGTTTTGAAGACATATTATATATAGCCAAAATGGGCAGGAGCTTCTGAATGTAACTCACTGTTCTTCGGTTGTTATACATGAACTTGTGTATACTGCTCCTAAATTTTAAATACATCTCTGATCGATTCTAGCTTACCATTACTTCTGGTTCTCTTGTACTTGCATCATTAAGACACAATACTTGAAGAATTTTTTTTTTTACTCTTTGGCTCATAATTTAGTTGAAGAGAGGATGGCCATCAGATGCTCCATAATTGCGAAACATTTTTGTTTTTACATTTTTATACATCTTTTAGAATGGTCAGTCTAATTTTGTGATGTTTGTATCATCTATTTTTTTCTGGTCTTCTCTCTATAGTACCTCCTTCAGCATTTGTCTACTTAGAAACCATATCAAGGAAATTTTGGTGCACAGATGAAATAAAAGATGGAGGAATACTGTTATGTGTCCTTTTAGAAAAATGAGATGGCCTAGTTTCTTGTCACAAAATACAGAACACACTGGAGACTTTTTGTTGAATAAATAACTGGATGAAAATGTCTTATTTTATTTTTGTCCTTAGAAAATAATTAATTCATTCTTGAGTTTGAGAAAATTTCTGTAGACTGTCATCATTTGAAGGCACATAGTCTGAGATTTTACTTATAATGATCAATTTCACCATCTTAGCATTTCAAGTGCTGCTGTCTCACTCTTTGTATTCATCTTCAGATTCATATAATTGTGAATGTCTTTATCAATCTTTTTTTATTTTATTTTATTTTTTGACCATTATGGCTAGAGAATTTAAAACATCTGAGTTCTCAACTGTGTTCCATTAAAACTAAAACCAGGCAACAAAAATGGTGAATGGTGTCTCTAAACTTCTTTTATAGCTTCTTGAAAGATGATGCAATACTTTGGACAACACTAAGAAAACTGAAGGATCATGTCACAGTGATATTTATTTCACTATTGCATCATTCTAAGCAGTTTCACCATTCTTTCATTTTCTTATTATTTTAATCTTTTTTATCATAGTTGGTAATTGATGATAACATAATTTCTAGAATGTTGAAATAGCATAATATAGCTTTGATTTGTAAAAAGATCCAGTGGACCCATATGGTAATTGCCAGATAAAGTATTATTTTATTTTTTTTAATATATTTCCCTTTTTGGTCTGTGGAAGATTTCTAAGGAAAAACAAGTCATGAGATATCAATCTTTACAAATGAACTTGAAGACAGTTTAAATATGTCAGT